AGCATTCGTCAACAAACCGACATATGCGAGCAGTCGAACCACATTTCTCGCTTATTTAGTACCGCCCCACAAGAAGTAGTCGGTTTTCATCGAGCCCGAAAGAACAACTGGTTCGATGAGGAGTGTAAAGAACCTGCAGAGAAAAAATACGCCGCCTACGATCGGCCGCAACGCGACCCATGCAGGACCGCAATAAAAAGAGAGAGACCGAAATCCGTGAGTGCGAAGAACTTGAGATGCTGGCCGACAGGAAGAACGCCCGAAAATTTTAGCAGAGAGTTAGACGACTTACGGAAGTACCAGGGCGAGGACCGATGTCCAGAACGTACTTAAATTATATAGGGAATACTTCACCCTATTGGGTGGTAGCAGCACAGAAACTCATGGAGAAGACGAGCCTGAGCCCCCAGTCGATGATGATGGAGTCGATGTTCCGCCACCTGACTATGACGAGGTACGAATATAAATAGCGAGCTCGAAAAACAACAAAGCTGCTGGAGCTGATAGCCTGCCAGCTGAGCTATTCAAGTACGGCGGCGAGGTGTTGATAGGGTGCGTGCATCATTACTTATAATATGGGCAGATGAACAAGAAAGCCATTCGCGCCAACTACCACGGGATCAGCCTTCTAAGCATAGGATATAAGGTCTTATCGAGCGTATTGTTTCTATGAACTGATTGGGCCTTATATCATTGTGGTTTTAGACCTGGAAATCCATCATCGATCAGGTATTCACAATATACCAAATATTGGAGAAGACCCGCGAGAAAAGTATCGAAACTTACTCGCATTGAGTTTGTATGACAGCGTGACTTATGGAGTGTGGTTTTCGTACGTGGAGAGAGGACTTTACTTTTGAATTACGTACATAGTCCAAAGCAGCACTTGTTGGAAATAGTGATTCTGCGTTGGATTTCCATGCTGACATTTGTGTTATTGGTGTTAATGCTGGTTCCCAAGTAAACGAAATTATCTACTTTCTCGAAAGTATAACTGTCAACAATGACGTGTGTGTCAAGGCGCGAGTGAGCTGAATTTTTTTTTGATGACAGGAGATACTTCGTCTTGTCCTCGTTTAGCACCAGACCCATTTGCTTTACATATATGTCATCGCCATACGCTAGCAATTGCACGCTCTTGTAATAAATTGTTTCTGAACGGTTCAGTTCTGAGAGATCTTTTCCAATTCTGACGAAGCTGGTGGTGTTGCTCATCGTAATTTTACACAGCCGTATCAGTTTCGCGTGGATACCGAATTATAATCAATTAAATTTAAGAAAGCATAAATTGAATTTTAGGAAATGTACAGTGAATTTTAGAATTTTCTACAAAAATATTGCAGGAACCACCTTTTTTTTTTGTTTTTCCAAACCGGTTTCCACCGGTTTATTTGGATATCTACAGGCGCTTTTTATGAAATCTTAATTTTTCGAATATCGATTAAACCGGATTTTTTATCGAACAAACCGTTTTTTTTATTTCATACAAATCTTGACTGGTCAATGTTTTGAGTTTCTCGAAGTTTTCAAGGCATTTTTCAGATTATGGGAAACCCCTAAAAAGTTTTAAAATTATATCCTAGGTTATTTGGGGATAACAGTGTGTCACAGTCGGTAAACGAAGGGAGTGTTAAACGAGCAGCGAACGAAGTCACACGTACGAGAGCAAGGCGTACTCTGAAAGAAGCACTTTTACTATATACAATTTAATCTTTTATCAATATACTTTATTGTTTCCATTCAACTTAACTATATCTGTTAATTCTATGACTTATTAATACACGTGGCATTTGTTCGTTGTAAATCAACCACCGGGTGTCCTGGCCTTTTACAAGT